GACAAACAGACAGACGTGGCCGGAGGACTTCAACTTATAAAATGATTTAAGGATTATAGTCTTTGCTATTCAAAGTATCAATACTAAGCAGGCGTAGTACATAAAAATAGGTATGTTTCAAAATAAGCAATGTCCATCAGACGCGTGCAACAAAAACAGCAAAGTCCAGTGGTTTATTTCAAAAACAGCAAAGTCCAGATTATTTATTCTATTTTCTTGTTACTGTGACGAATCTACGTAATTCCATTAATATGGGACCATCACATGATATATTAACTTTATTTTTGTTATAGTACACAAACCACTGAATGTACTAAAGATCAATAATTCAAAATAGAGGTATTGTGAAAAAAACATAGATACGGACATTGCGGTTTTTGATTCTAGTAGACTCAATTGTTTCGCTACATTCCATGGCATACAATCCTAATTTTTAAATAAATGTCAGATTTGTTTTACTTGTATACGCATATTGTTGCCAAATGTCAACTAACAGTTTTTTTTTAATAAAAAAAATATTAATGTCATAAGATTTTATTCATTATTTTTCCCTTAACCTATGGCCCAAAAACTATCGGAAACCATTTTTTTTAAATAAAAATAAAAAATCATGCATTTAAGGGTGTAACAGTAAACCAAATACGTAACCGTGTCTCGTTTGCGAACCCCCTCCCACTCCCGCAGTCGCCGCGCGGACGCGCTCACCAATAGACGCGGGAGCCCGCCGTTTTCATTTTCGGGAGGAAAAACTGTCGCTAAAGTAAGTTGAATTTTGTTTATATTTCATAATCTATTGGTGTCATCCTATATATTTTATTCTAGTTGTTTGTGTACATTCATGTAGTATGATTGAGAGCTAATACATTTACGTAAGTATCTGTGGTTTTTGAGAAATTTTAGTTAGAACTTTGTAGTGCTAATATGGTTAACAGTGGATTGATTCACTGTGTACACTATAAGTAGATTATGATGTACCCTCAATTAAATGAGGAACTTAATAGAAGTTTATCTTTACAGAAATGCCGAGGAATAGAGTAGAACAACGAAAAGTAGGTGCTCATACACATGAGCAAATGCGTGAAGCATTACAGGCCATAAAAGACGGAAAAAGTATTAGACAAGCTGCTGCTGACCATAATATTCCTTTTACAACACTCCAAAGGTATCAAGCCAAAGAAAAAAATGTGCAAAACCAGCTGACCAGGTTGACTCCTAACTACGCCGTGAACCAAGTATTTTATAAGGACCAAGAGCTAATATTGAAACAATATTACATAAAATGTGCAAGCCTTTTCTATGGTCTTTCTGTTAAGGATTGTAGACAAGTTGCTTACGAAATGGCCAAAATTAATGGCATCAGAATGCCAAAGACCTGGACAGACAACCAATTGGCTGGAATAGATTGGCTAAGGGGTTTCCGCCAACGACATCAGGATTTGACGCTGCGTAAACCCGAGGCGTGCAGTTTAGCACGAGCATCGGCTTTTAATAGAGAGACCGTCAATCATTTTTATGATAACTTAGAGGACGTGATCAAGCGCCATCCTGCATTTGCTGATGGGACAAGAATTTATAACTTGGATGAAACCGGTACCACCACTGTGCAAAAGACCCAACGGATTATAGCGCCAAAGGGTAGACGAAACCTCTGCAAAGTCACTAGTGGTGAGAAGGGGACACTTGTCACTACTTGCAACATCAATAGCGCTGGGGGCCAGGCAGTTCCACCAGTGCTTGTCTTCCCACGAAAAAATACAAACCCTCGTATGGCTGGTGGTACCCTACCTGGATCACTGATTCTGGCAAACCCATCTGGGTGGATGAATAGTGAGCTGTTCTTGGATGTAATGAAGCATTTTATACGAAGAACTGGAACTACTAAAGAATACCCATCGATTTTGATTATGGATAACCATGAGTCTTACCTTTCCATAGAAGCGCTTAATCTCGCTAAAGAGTCTGGGTTACTGTGCTTACATTGCACCCACATACATCAGCACGACTGCAACCACTGGATGTTGGAATTCACGGACCCTTCAAAACATTTTACTATTCCGCCATGAGTTCCTGGATGTTACGCAATCCTGGATGTCCTGTAACTATTTACGACGTGGGAGCATTAATTGGCCAGGCTTTCGCAAAGTCTATGACACCTTCTAATATAATACAAGCATTCAGAAAAACGGGAATTTTTCCTTTTGATCGATACGTTTTTACTGACGAGGACTTTGCACCCAGCAGTGTTACTGATAGACCTGAAAATGCTCAACCTGAAAGTGATTTTAGTGGAGAACACGTAATTACTGACCAGCAACCGATTTTAGAGCTAGAAGAGAACACACTTAATTTACAAATAACTCATTCTCCTAAACCCTCTTATAGCACTACTGAAGCATCTAGAAATACAATGAGTCCATCTCTAATGAAGAATTTTGTCGATTATTCAGAAATTACTTCGATGCCAGTATTTTCCACTCCAGAAAAATCTATTTTAATTGATATATCTAATGTTTTGCCACTTGACGGTTCTGCAACTCAACATGCAGTTATTATGCCCACTACTTTTACTGAAAGTGAGTCAACTTCTTCACCTGGAATCAAATCTATCATTACTCCTGAACAGTTTCGGAAGCCACTTAGAGCACCCACAAGAACTGGAAAGAGGAAGCCAAGAAAATTAGGTAAAAGTCTTATAGCCACTGACACACCTGAAAAAAATGCTATTGCAGAACAGAAGGCAGCCAAAAGGAAGAAAGAAACTAAAACTAAAGGGATAGGAAAGAAAACTATTCGTCAAGTGCTGCAAAGTGATTCAGAAGATGAAAATGACATTATACTGGACGACGAAACAGACGATGAAGGAGACTGGGTTGAAAGTAAAGAGACCATTATAACAGAGGATTTACTAAAACAACCACTTCTGCAATTACCAAAGGAAAGTCAATACGTATTGGTGCAATTTTGTTCCAAGAACCAAAAGATATTTTTTGCTGGCAAAATTCTTGAGGAACGAAATCCCAATACGTTAGAATTTTATGTGTCTTTTTTAAGATACAAAAAAGGGAAATTTGTTTTGCCTGATGTCCCGGATTTATCGTACGTGAAAGAGGACAACATAAGGCTAAGGCCGACGCCTACCGTTAGTGGTAGTACGGCCAGGCAACAGTCATATTATTCATTTCCTGTAGATTTAAGTCACATTAACATTCGTTGAGTTCTTTATTTTTTTATTCTTTGATATATATTTTTAGTAGAAGATAATGCCTAAGACTAACTTTTAAAATCTGTGATTTAAGATAAGAATTGTTATTATTTCACTATTTCTTAAGATAGTTGAAAATAAAAAAAAATCTTTAATAGTGATAAAGAAGCAACGTTCAAGACTTAGTAGATTCTAGTTAATGTTATAGCAATATTGAATGAAGACTGTAAAAGTACAAAGTTCCTTTAAGTTTCATAGAACTTTTTCTTTTTTTTATTATGTCCCTTGTGGTTAGTAATGTTTACGATGCTTAAAAATAAACATCCAGTTGATTATTTACTTTGACTTTTATTACTTTCCTGTTCAGATTTTCTTTGATCCACTGTAAACCAGGAGGCGATCCATTGAGTACCCAGGAGGTGTACACAGTAGATCAAACCCACTATAAAAAAAATATATAACACCTTTTTTATTGTACACTGTTTGTCAGGAAGGCTAATAATATTTTAAAGCTTAATAACCACACGTGCCCCTGGCAAATTTTCGTAAAAATCTGACTATTAGTTTTTATATTACAATGCGTCAAAAAAAAATGATCCACTGTTGACCATCTTACCCTAGTTTAAATGTCTTGTTATAGTTAATTTTCTTAATTTTGTAATAGTAATTTACCTAAGCCTGATTAGTTCCACTAAAAAAAAAACAAGCAACATACCGGCCGAACGTATAATCTCCTCCTTTTTTGAAGTCGGTTAAAAAAATAACCAAAAACGTTATTAAAAAGTGATTTTTTTTTTGAAAAGTTAAACAGTTTTTTCTTGGCTGGCACCTGGCTACTTTTGTAGATTATTTTTTATAATTCGGATTTTTTTATAGTTAGTAACCAAATAAAAATAAATTTCGAACCTTGTTTGTCAAACTTTATTTTTTTGTTACTTTCTTAATGTATTACAACTAAATAATGTTTTCTCAAGATCATAGGGGCTCATGATCCTAATGTGCACAGCGCTTCAAGTAGTTTAAAGACGGCCCTGGTTCCAAAAGACATTAGTGTTTCAAATGTCAGATCCCACATATGCTTGCAAGTAAACTGAGCGTGAACATTCCTATCACACGTAACTAACCCGGTGTTCTGGAAGAGCTGAACCGATTTCCACCAAACATAGCTCTTGGAAGAGCTGAACCGATTTCCACCCAACAGCTCTTGAAGAGCCGAACCGATTTCCACCAAACATATCTAAGAACACTCTTGACTGATATACCTTTCAAACCGCATTAAAATCGGATCATCCGTTTGGGAGCTACGATGCCACAGAAGACACACACATTTACACAGACACGTCAAACTTACGACGTCGTTTTTGCGTCGGGGGTTAAAAACAACAAGACTAAGAGATAGACCAAAGAGACAAAAGTAACTGGTTATGAACTTGACTGATTGTCAAGATGATGCTGATATGAGTTTGAGAGAAAGTTCTTGTTCTCCCACCAAGACTCAACGACTTCTAAACAGCTGTATAGAACATTTTTTCAAACAACTTAGCAAAATATATACTATAATAAAAACATTACTTTTTTCTGTTCTTAATACATAAATATAATACTTTTTTATGTTAAATACTTAACTTATATTTATAAAGTTTATAAAACATATTTGGACAATAACAAAATAACACAAAAGCCTTTGATACAAATCCCTATGTGAACCCTTAGCATATCAAAATATATAACAACACCAATAAACCAGCATCAGACCAACACTAACCACTTCTAATAAATAATCATAATACCCACTTGTGTTGCATACAGAAGTTACCAGCAAGCTATTTCAGATTGTTTAATGTTCAATTACGACTATAACATACATCAAGTACAATTCTAGACTGTGCTATTCCTGAGAAAAAATTAAAAACCGGTATGCCCTATTTTAGGTACTTATCTTATTTAAAAATGGATAGAAATAAAACAATTTGTTCAGTATCTTCTAAACTGTTTCTTAAACTTTTCATAATGATAATCGTCAGTAGCTCTTTCACCTTTAGCCTTCTTCACTATTTTATCTACATTATCATCTATAACACTACTTTCAGTCTTAGCCACTTCTGGCTTCTCAAGTTTACGTTTTTTAGCAATATCACTATCCATGTTGAACCGGTTATGTTGTACAAAATTCACTGCCATGTTAGTTGGCACAAACTGTGAAGGACAGTCTTTTTTATTATGCCTCTCCCAAAGCAGTTTCATTTTAGCCTCTTCTGTAGCCTCAATGTTTTTAATTTTTGCATCAATACCCAAATCTACTTCAGGAATACCACTGAGCATCTGATTAGACAGCATCTCCTCTGAGCGATGTGCTGATGAAACCCTCAAATGTTCAGGCAGAGACAATAATGCAGCTTCTTCGGGTGATAAGTATTTCAAAGCATCATTTTGTTCAGATTCTTTTGTGTCTTCATTACGTCCTTCTGGAAAAACAAAAGTTTAAAATTAGTACAAAATAATTAGAATATTTCATTTTTTATTTAAATAAGGAATAACATGAGTGTTATTGATAGACTCATTTACTTCTTCTGTGTGGAGTGATCTTACAAGCTAATAGGATAGGTACTGTAATCTGTAGACTGTAACCATGATGGTCACATATAATAACGAAACTTCACATATATAATTCATTTATTAAATATAGTTAGTAATAAAATTTTATGTTAGTGTTACTTATATTATAAATGGGGAAGTTTGTGTGTATGTTTGTTACTCAATCATGTCAAATGGTTGAAATTTGGAACATGAGAAGACTGTGGTCTGGAATAAGGGCGCTAACGTGTTGCCTACCGTGTCTCGAAAACATAAAGGGTTTTCGGTACAGACCCATTGGTTTAGGTACATACACAGGCTGCTTTTTATCCCACCAATTAGGGATGATGATGGGGTAGTAAGTCTACTTAGTTTGTTATATGTAGTTTGTTAGTCAGGTATTGTAATGTAATGTAAGATATTTTTTTTATTTTACCAAGAAAATAATACTTGGATAAAACAAATCAAAATTTAGAAGTGGGAGCTAAAATGTAATTTCTAGATACAAAATGTACACAAAACACCGTTAATTAGTTCGCAGCGCTACACATCGACACTACTATCATTTACACGATATACATGTGTGGGTAATTTCATATTAATAGATATGTATAGAAACATTCGTCTATCACACACATATTGGTATTTTACATTGAGTACCATCATTATAGACACAATTAAAGAACAATAGGTTGCGGTCACCGGTGTCCTCGCGGTGTTTGACAGTTTAAATATCATTTATGTGTTGGTATACGTAATAATTTAGTAAAAAAGTGTAAATAAAAACGAGGGTAAAGATAAAAATAACTCATAACAGACTTTGAATAAATCGAAATCAAATAATGAACGATCGAGTTATACAATACCAAATACAATATATATAGTGCTTACTCATCGTATTTTTATGCTACTGAATGATATATATACAATATGTCGATAATCTCATCCACAGCGCGCTTGGCGCAATGGTCATCACCTCCAGTTGTCAAGTAAAGTACCGCCGGATCGATTCCAACATTCACAAATTGTTTTAGTATTAAACTGTCTAACACCGCGAGGACACCGGTGACCGCAACCTATTGTTCTTTAAACTGTCAAACACCGCGAGGACACCGGTGACCGTAACCTATTGTTCTTTAAACTGTCAAACACCAAGCGGTCACCGGTGACCGCAACCTATTGTTCTATAATTGTGTCTATAATGACGGTACTCGACGAGTTAATTGTGTCTATAA